AGCACTTGTTGGGCATCAGTGGCGCTGGTGCCTTGCTGCCGCAGGCATACGCACACACATATGCGTGGTGCTGCCTTGTTGCTATCGTAGGCACACACACACATATGCGTGGTGCTGCCTTGCCATCGCATGCGCAGCCATGCATCGCCCAACTAGTGCCTGCTGGGCATCGCCGATGCTGGCCCTCGCATCCTACGCATTGGCTGGTCGCACAGGCCTCGCATCACGCACCAGCCATGCGCCACGCACAAGTCATTGCCAGCCCTCACGCACTGGCACCATGCATCACTCACACTAGCCAGTGCCTAGCACTGCTTGTGCTTGGTGCGAGGCATGCGCACATGCACCAGCCAATGCACGCACACGCACCAGCCCACACGCATTAGCGCGGCTGCTGTGCAAGGCCAGTGTGCGAGGCTGCGAGGCACACACGCACACACACGCATGCCCCTGGCATTGCGATGGTGCTTGTGCGTGGTGCTAGGTCTTGCGATGGTGCCTAGCAAGGCCTGTGCGCTGCGATAGGGCACCACATGCACTCAGGCACCACGCTAGCTTGCTGCTAGCTACTATGGGCTGCCTGGTGCCTGTGTGGCTTGCGATGGCTGCCATGCGCACCTAGGCACCCATGCTAGCATGCTGCTAGCTTGCGATGGGCTGCCAGTGTGCGCCTAGGCTGCGAAGGTGCCTAGCACACCATGGTTTGCCTAGCACACACATGGTGCACCTAGGCATGCTATGAGCTAGCCTAGCCTAGCTACGGCTACGCTCCTACTTGTTGCTTGTGATTTTGCGACGCTCGGTATCGAAGCCCTAGGCTCGATTTCTGACGTCTGTATTCGTAAAACTCTGTCGACTCATTAAATCCTTTCGGATTAATTCGACGTCTCGGATCGGAGATTCGATTGGGTTCGACCCGAAGGGTTTAGTTAAGATTAAGCTGTAATATCAATTGTACCTTGATATTACTGATCGGAAGCGGCCTCCACCTAGGCATTCCGATCACTTTACCTTACTGAAGAATTAGCTCTGTAATAATTTTGAACCCTCTTATCGGAATAATACACTTGTTGGAAGGACACCATTCCTTTCACGCAAGCCGTATTTAGATTTACAAAAATACATAACGGAACGCAGTCCGTATTTTCTATCCTAGTCGGGCCCCACTAGTTGCCATTTTCAATAACCTGTTTTGAAAACAATCTTCCATTCATCCATTCACTATTTGTGAATGGCCCATGCAATTTTACGAAATACATAATTAAACACACAAAACTATTAACTAACTTAGGTGGTTAATCCGATTAACGCGCCTAATTAAAACTAGTAAAAGTTGTTTAATCCATTATTTCTAAAAGCAAAATTCTCTTGTAATTAATTAAGCTCACACTAAATTCCGCATCCATACTTAATTAATCCGATTAATTAAGTCGGCATAACCCATAATTTGTCAAATTTTTGCAAAACCGAAAAATCGAGGTTTTTAACCTCGTTAAAATAATTACCAAAAATATTTTAAAGACAAGATAATGCAAAAATCATAGCCCAAGTTTTAAGCAAAATTGCCCCAACATAACCCTTTGAGGGTGGGCACCATGGCTGCTAGGCAGCCCATGGCCTGGTGCCATGGTCCATAGGCGAGGTACGCTGTGCCCAGCATGCTCTGCTGCTAGCGCCAGCTGCCTGCTTGCATGCTGTGCATGCTTGCTAGCACGCTGGTGCCTGCGAGCATCTGGCCTGCTGGGCTGACGCTCTTGATGCTAGCCAGCATGGGCGCACTCCACACAGCCACACAGCCAAGCCTATGCTGCTGCGCTCAGCACCTTCCCTGCCACACAGCCACGCGCATTGGTGCAATGCCCTTGCGTTCACCTTAGGTAGCCTACATGTGGGCTGCTGGGCAGCCCGGCTGGCGTTGGTGACGCTTGCGGTTTTGCATCGATTTGCGTGCATTTCACTCGGAATTTTAATTCCGATTTGTGTGTGACAAAATTAATTCTAAATTACATTTTAGAATCAATTTGAGGAAAAATGAAATAAAATAAAATAAGTCTTAAATAAATTTAATTTTATTGGTGCACAAGCCTAAATTATCCAAAAATTTTATTTTTGAACAAATTTAGGTCTTTCTTTATGCTTAAAATAGAATGAGCCATGTCCATAATTAATCTTGCCAATATGCAAATTAATAATGGATTTGACAAATGGGAGTTGGAAAAATAAACTAATCATCTAATGAAAAATTTTCCAACTTTCATACTTGTGTAAAATACCAAGATTACATCTTCCAATATGAAGATTAATCAAATTTTACTCACAAGTATTTGAACTTGATGGATTTTAATCAACCAAACATGAAAAATTCAAACTTTGTTCAATATGGAATTTAGGGTTAGGGTTCCAATAATTTAAACCTTTAAAGATTAGAAATTTAACAAAATAGGAACTTAAAATTACAAGTTCACAACAAGCTTTCACATTTTATTGCAATTTATTTGCAGAATTTGTGAAAAACAAGTTTATGTGAAAAATGGTATCTCAACTTAAGCACTAATAAAAACTCCATTATTATGCTTAAGGATATTTTTAAAAACAGTAGATTAGTGATGCAAATGTGCATTTAATCTAACCTTGTAATGCTTGCATTAATCAAGGCTTAAAAAGAATTAAAAACGAAAAACCCCAGAAAAAATGGGTTTCTGGTTCGAATTTGGCTTTTGGACATCCCTCAATAAGGATTGAATCTGTTCCAGAATGTCGATTCCACCCAAAAATCACTATTTTTGAGCCAAAATCTGGGTTCGACAGCCAAATCGAGAATAAAGCCGAGTTTTAAAAATTAATTAAAACGAGCTTCTAATCTAATTAGAAGAACATGAACCAGAAAAATAAACTCCTTTAAAACACCTTAATTAAAGAGTAATTACAAAAATTAAAAGGAGCATGGCTCCGATACCGCTGTAGGGTTTCGTAGTGACCCGACACTACGCGGAAGGAAACCCCCCAAGACCCGCCCCTTAATTAAAGCAATTAACAGGCATAATAAACATAATTAAGCAAGACTAAGAACAAGAATTATACCTTTGTTGCGTGCTTCGCTCCCGAAGAGCTATTACTTCAAAATCCCGAAACTACGAGATCTCCGACGGATCGTACCCTCGACCCGACCCGAGCGTCTCAAGTCTTGAAGGTTAGTCAAGACTCGTACAAACAAAACTATGAGTTTTACGAATCAAAGGTTTACTCTAATTACAAGAGTTGCCTTTTTAATTCCACTCAAGGTTATCCATTTCCCAACACCCTTGAAGGGTAATTATAGGGAAATGGGTCCTTGGTTTTCAATCTCCTACCAATGTGGGAGAGTTGAAAAATCAATGATTTATTTAATTTCCAAATTAAATAAATAATCAACTAAATCATATTGCGACAAGTGGCATGATCATGTGCAAAGGAGTAGTGCCCAAGGTTAGGTGGGGGACCATATGCCTTGCTCCCCAAGGCCCTTGATTGGTCCCCACAAGCTTCCTCACAACCGCCATATGGCTGCTGGGCTGGCAGCCAGCTAGCGCTGCCAGCTAGCACTGCCCAGCAGCATCCTAGCCAGCCAGTGCTTGTTGGGCAATGCTGGCGCTGGTGCTGTGTGCTGGCGCCTAATGCTGCTAGCACATTGTGCTGGTGCTGGCCTCAGCAGCCCACGCACTGGCTGGCGCACATGCCTCGCATAGCATGCACCAGCCTCGCACCACGCACCAGCCTCGCACCACGCATCAGCCTCGCACCTCGCACCACGCACCACGCATCGCACCACGCACCAACCTCGCACCATTGCTAGCCCAGACAGCGAGTCTACGTACGCAAGGGCCTAGCATGCGTGCTGGGCGATGCTGCCAGGCACCCTCGCACTAGCACACACACGCCAGTGCCTAGCACTGCTATGCTTGGTGCGAGGCACGCACACACACACATGCACATGCGCTAGTGCCTAGCAATGTGATGGCTGTGCTTGGTGCGTGTGTGGCCCTGTCATGCGCACCCAGGCATCCAGGCAAGCACGCTGCTGTGCTGCGATGGGCTGCCTGGTGCTCCTGGTGCGCCTAGTGTTTGCGATGGGCTACCAGGTGCTCTTGGTGCGCCTAGTGCTTGCGATAGGCTGCCAGGTGCTCCTGGTGCGCCTAGTGCTTGCGATGGGCTGCCAGGTGCTCCTGGTGTGCCTAGTGCTTGCGATGGTCAGCGATGGTGCCTAGGCATCATGCTAGGGCTGCGATAGCGCCTAGGCATGATGCTAGGGCTGCGATGGTGCCCAACCATCCTAGGGCACGCATGGTGCGCCTAAGCATGCTGCTGGGCCCAGTCTAGCCTAACAACCCACATGGCTAGGCTAGTGTGGTGCTAGGGCTTTGTTCATACTTGTCGCTTTATGATTTTGCGACGTTCGGTCTCGACGTCCTAGGCTCGATATCCGACGTCTGTATTCGTAAAACTCTGTCGACTCATTAAGTCCTCTCGGATTAATTTGTCATCTCGGATCGGTGATTCGATTGGGTTCGACCCGAAGGGTTCAGTTAAGATTAAGCTGTAATATCAATTGTACCTTGATATTACTGATCAGAAGCGGCCTCCACCTAGGCATTCCGATCACTTGATCATACTGAAAAATTAACTCTGTAATAATTCTGAACCCTCTATCAGAATAATACACTTGTTGGAAGGACACCATTCCTTTCAAAAATAAGAGCAACTGAAAGTTTATAAGCTGATTTTTTTTTTAATTTTTTTTTAATTTTTGAAAATAGAAATATAAAATTAAAAAAAAATGACGAGAAAATAAATAAAAATTAAACTATCAGAAAATATTCTTAAGCTTGGGTTGCTTCCCAAGAGCGCTTTATTTATCGTTGTTAGCTCGACGCCTTTCCAGCATACTAGTCTTCATAATTTGGAGCTTCTAGCTCCATCACTTCAATGTTCTGGACCTGATAACCCTCATAGTACGGCTTGAGTCAATAACCATTCACCTTGAATTCCTTCCCTGTGCCCTCACTACGAATCTCCACCGCACCATGGTCATATACCTTGGTAACAACAAACAGCCCTACCCATCGAGAACGAAGTTTACCAGGAAAGAGTTTGAGTCGAGAATGGTACAAGAGAAATTTCTGGCCAACTGTAAATGTCTTTCGTGTGATGCGCTGATCATGGAATGCCTTAGTATTCTCCTTGTAAATTCTCGCATTCTCAAAAGCATTATTTCGGATTTCATCAAGCTCTTGTAACTGAAGTTTCCTTTGCTCACCTGTTGCATCCATCTCCATATTGCATTGCTTCATGGCCCAAAAACCTTTGTGTTCCAATTCTACTAGAAGGTGACAAGGTTTGTCGAACACTAGCCTGTAAGGAGACATCCTAATCGGTGTTTTATACGCTGTTCCGTATGCCCACAGAGCATCGTTGATGCGGAGACTCCAATCTTTCCAGTTTGGATTCACAGTCTTCTCCAGAATGGATTTGATTTCCCGGTTAGAAACTTCAAATTGTCCATTTGTTTGCGGGTGGTATGCCGTGGAGACTCTATGGAACACATTGTACTTCTTTAAAAGAGCTCCTACGGTTTTATTACATAAGTGTGTCCCCTTATCGTTGATAATGGCCCTCGGAAATCCATATCTTGCAAAAATGTTCGATTTCAAAAATTCTGGAACCACTTTAGAATCATCAGTACTGATGGCTATAGCTTCCACCCATTTCGAAACATAATCGACAGCCAGCAAAATATATTGAAAACCGAAAGAAGAGGGGATGGGTCCCATGAAATCCATACCCCAAACATCAAAGATTTCACAAAATAAAATAGGAGTATGGGGCATTTCATTCCTAGGACCTAATGTACCTGTCCTTTGCCAATTATCACAAGCCTTACATATATCATATGCATCTTTGAATATAGAGGGCCAGTAAAATCCGCTTTCCAAACCCTTGCATGCATTTCTCTTGGGTCCAAAATGTCCTCCACAAGCATAAGAATGACAAAAGGTTAGTATAGAAAGAAATTCAGAATCAAGTACGCACCTTCTGATTAGTTGATCAACACAATATTTCTAGAGATACGGGTCATCCCATATATAATACTTCGCTATGCTCCGCATCCGATCCTTTTGTGCCTTGGTGTAGTTTGCTGGAAACTTCCCAGATACTAAAAAATTTACCAAATCGGCATACCAAGGAGTTCCTGAGCTCAAGGCATGAAGTTGCTCATCGAGGAACTCTTCATTGATTGGAATTTTATCTTCATCAACTTCAATAACTAACCTGCTCAAATGATCAGCAACACTATTTTTAGAACCTTTTTTTATCTTTTATTTCAACATTAAATTGTTGAAACAATAAAATCCAACGTATTAGCCTAGGTTTGGATACATCCTTTGCCTATAAATATTTCAGCGCTGCATGATCAGTAAACACAACAATTTTAGTACCCAATAAATAAGATCTGAATTTATCTAAAGCAAAAACTACAGCTAAAAGTTCTTTCTCAGTTGTAGTATAATTAGCTTAAGCCGCATCCAAGGTCCTCGAGGCATAGTAGATGGCATGGGGAACTTTTCCAACTCGCTGGCCTAGCACTGCCCCTACAGCATAATTAGAAGTGTCGCACATCAACTCGAACGGGAGCTCCCAGTTAGGAGGTTGTAGAACAGGGGCAGTGACCAACTTGTCTTTCATCTTGTCAAATGCTTGCTTATAGGCCTCATCAAAGTGGAACTTCACATCTTTTTGGAGTAGTTTGCATAGTGGTTGAGCAATCTTAAAAAATCCTTCAACAAACCTTCGATAGAAACCTGCATGACCAAGAAAAGAAAGAACTTACCGCACAGAGGCGGGGTAAGGCAGAGAAGAAATAAGATCTATTTTAACTTTATCGACTTTTATTCCTTCAGCAGACACAATATGGCCTAAAACTATACCTTGTTGAACCATGAAATGACATTTTTCAGAATTAAGCACAAGTTGGTTTCAAGACAACGTTTAAGAACCAAAGTGAGGTATTCTAAGCTGATCGGGGGACAATAGGTCGTGTCTACTATCCTAGATCAAATCAACAATTTATATTCCTAACCTAACTCTATCAAGTTCACACTAGATAGTGGCAAGCTAGGGTCGAACCACAAGGACTAAGTGTATTAATTTGAGGTAATTAGACTAAGAGGAAGGTTGTGAGATAGGGAGAGAAACATCTAAAACACTACTTAATTCAATTAACAAGATATTAGGGAAAGGGGAATCCAATTACATTAATAAATTCAATAACATGTCGCAATTAGATGATCATGATCTCAATTAGGAACGATTAACACACTCAACTCACTCCCGTGCAATTAAGCATGCTAATTATCCTACTAAGCTAATTCACTCCCGCGCAACTAGCCTAGAAAAGGTATGGAAGAATCTAGACTCTCAATCAACTCACTTCCGCACAATTGATTGAAAGCACAATTAAGAACCAAGAATCAATTAGCTAATAAGATTCTAGTCAATGTAATTAAGCATCATCCAAACACAATAATCAAGAATCAATTGCATACTAATCACAACCAATCACTCAATTCATCAACATAACCTTCATCCATTTCCCTAGAACAAAATCTAAGCAAACATAATGAAGGAAAACATGGAAAACAAGGTAAAATTAGAATTAAAGCAAGAATCAAACAAGTAAACTAATTAACTACTCTAATCAATAATGAAATAAGCAAAAACAAGAATTAAACAAAGCAGTAAAGGTGAGAGAAAGTTAGAAAAGCTCATTGAATAGATAAGAGAGAATCCACAAAATTGCTTCTTCAAGCTCTCAAATCTTCATTGAAATCCAATCTTTCTCTCTCTAAAACTACTCCTAAACTAGAAAGAGAAAATCATAATCTAACCCTAATCCTAATTAGAGGAGTGAGGAAATGTAAAACTTGTCTTAAGGAAGTCTAAGAAGTCCTCTATTTATATTACAAGAAGAGAAAGAAAGAAATCCGGAAATTAAGCTCGAAAAAGACCCAGAAACGCGCGCCCGTGGCAAGGCTATTCTGAGGCATCTCCCGAAAGTTACAACAGCTGGGAAGAACAGAGGGTCGCGCCCGCAGTGGCTGCGCAGCCTGGCAGTGTCTTGCAGATTCAAATGGTCATAACTTCTGTTCTAGGAGGCCTCTTGGGGTGTACGACCTACCGTTGGAAAACTCTTCAAGTTTAGTTTCTAACGCAATATGAATTGCCTCAATCCAATGAGTATATCAAAAGTTATGGCTAAAAGAGTGAACAAGACTCGGTTTAAGGCCTTCTACGAGCTTCAAGCTTTCTTGCCTCAAGCTTCTTAGCTTCTTTCTTAGCTTCAAGCTTCTTCTATTGAACTTTCTTGCCATTTCTAGGGTCATAAAAATCAAAGAAAGCATCAAGAACCTACACAAATAGACCAAGAGAGAAAAGAGGGAAAGAACACATAGAAAAACACACAAATCAAGCTAGAAACCGAGCAAAAAGCATATTATTCACAACTAAGGCCTAAAACCATAAACTAAGACAAAAGTAGCTAAAAAAAGACTAAAAGGAATAGAAATAACAAAGAAACACCGAAATAAACCTAAAACTTAGGGAGAAAAACGCCTTAAAATGTGTTATGATGATACTTATCATAAGCAACTATCAAAAGAATCTCCATGCAAAGTGAAATCATCCATGAAAACTTGTATGAAATTTTCAAGATAGTTTGAAATGATGCTTACCATACATCTCTGAAAAGTCGCTGGAGCATTGCACAGTCCAAATGGCATACGACGATACGCAAATGTGCCGTACGGGCATGTGAACGTCGTTTTTTCTTGATCCTCCGGAGCTATAGGTACCTGCACATACCCTGGATATCTGTCAAGAAAACAGTAATAAGCATGACCAACAAGACGTTCTACCATTTGATCAATAAAGGGTAAGGGAAAATGATCTTTTGAAGTCATAGAATTAAGTTTCCTGTAATCTACACAAACTCTCCACCCATTTTGAACTAGTGTGTGAACCATTTCTCCCTTATCGTTTTCTACCACTGTGACTCCTGACTTTTTTGGGACCGCTTGCAAAGGACTAACCCAACGGCTATCTGATATAGGGTATATCACCCCTACTTCAAGAAGCTTCATTACTTCTTTCTTCACCACTTCCATCATAGGTGGATTAAGTCGTTGCTGCACTTGTCTCACAGGTTTAGCTCCCTCTTCTAATAAGATTCTATGCTGATACATAGAGGGGCTAATTCCTTTTATATTAGCAACCGTCCACCCTAGAGCTGTTTTATGCTCCTTGAGAACTTGCACCAGCTTTTGCTCTTGAATCGTAGTTAGATTACTCGCGATTATGAATGGAAGAGTGTCATTTTCTCCCAAAAATGCATACTTGAGATGGTCTGGCAGTGGCTTTAGTTCCACTTGAGGGGCCTGTACAATAGAAGGCAGAAGTCTATTAGATGTGATAGGTAATTTCATAAAACGATCTGCATACCTTCCTTGCTTATTTGGAAGCACTTCTAAGGAAGAGAAAGCTTCCTTGATCTCATCTTCAAGCTCAAAATGTTCCTGCAAGTCAGTATATTTCTCTTTTTCCACAGGTTTAGTCAAAACAATATCTAACCCATCATGACCAGAGAGACAAAATACTTGCTCAGTTAGTGCATCAACGACATCTATACTAGAAACAGATTCACAATCAGAGGGGTATCTCATGGCATCAAATAAATTAAACGGATAATCTCCCCATCGAATTCCATGGTCAACACCCCACCGTGAACATCAATTTTAGTTCTGGATGTTTTCAGAAAAGGTCTTCCTAATAAGATAGTTGCTGCACTAGGGGATTCACCATTTGGCATATCTAAAACATAAAAGTCAGCAAGAAATACCAGTTCATTCACTTGCACTAAGACATCCTCAACTACTCCTACAGGGTATGTATTAGAACGGTCGACAAGCTGAATAATCACTCGAGTGTCTTTCAAAGGTCCTAAGTTCAGAGCTTTATAGATATATAAAGGCATGCCATTAATAGAAGCTCCTAAGTCTAGCATGCACTTATCGTATCTCGTGTTACCTATTTTACAGGGTATAGTAAAAATACCTGGATCTTTGCACTTTGGAGGAACTTTCCTCTGTAACACAGCAGAAACATTCTCACTTACACTGACTTTTTCATCTCCACTCAATCTCCTCTTGTTAGTGCACAACTCCTTCAAGAACTTTGCATACCGCGACACTTGTCTTATAGCTTCCAGTAGAGGTATGTTCACCTCAACCTTGCGAAAAATGTCCAGGTCTCTTTCTCCTTTTCATGCTCTTTCTTCTTATTTTTAGATGATAACCTGCTAGGAAATGGAACAGAAGAAGAAAACTGATTAGTATTAGGAGAAACAACATCACTTACCTTAGGGGGCTGCTTATCTTGCTCTAGAATAATAGTCTCCTGTTCCTCTTGGTGTTCAACCAGCCCTTCAGTCTTTTTCGCTCAGATCTCTAATTGCTTGCCACTTCTAAGTGATATTGCACTCGCGTTCTCCTTTGGATTTCTCTCTGGTTGGCTCTGAAGCTTGTTAGAGTTCTGAGCTTGGAGCTTTCCCACTGTGTTAGCTAACTAAGAAACTTGGTTCTCCAAGTTCTTTAGACCACTCTTTGCCTCTTGCTGAAAATGCAAAGTGTTGTTAGCCATTGCCTTTACGATATCTTCCAGAGATTGTGGATACTTGCTGTTTTTGAGGTCGCGGTGGATATTGTGGTTGCTGACGAAAACCAAGTGGAGGATTAGATGCATACTGTTGCTGGAAAGCTGGTGGTCTGAGGTTAGAGTTGCCTGCCTGCTGCTGAGCATTACCATATCTCAGGTTTAGATGAACTCTCCACCCCGGATTATAAGTTTGAGAGGACGGATCATAACGTCTTTGCTGCCCCTGACCACCACCAATAGAATTCACTTGTTCTTCTTGCATAGTAGGGCACATATCAGTTGGGTGTCCTACCATTGAGCAGAGGCCACATGCTTTTTCTTGCCCTTTTTCGATCATTACTCGCTCCACTAAGGAAGTGAGTTTAGCTACTTGTTGCTCGAGGTTAGAACTTACCACTTCATTAACTTAACGTAGAAGTGGATTTGATATTTTGACCTCCTCGATACTGAGAGTTTGCAGCCATGTTTGCATTCAGTTTCTTTGCATCTACGGGTGTTTTGTCAACCAGTGCTCCACCACTTGGTGCATCAACTAAATTCCTTTCTGTCTCCCTGAGTCCTTCGTAAAAGTACTGTACTAATAATTGCTCAGTGATCTGATTGTTTGGACAACTATCACATAGTTTCTTAAAACGCTCCAAGTACTCAAGAAGTGTCTATGCATCATTCTGTCGAGTCCCATATATTTCTTTCCTGATATTGGCTATCAAAGATGCTGGAAAATATCTTTCTGCGAATACTTTTAGCATTTGATCCCATGTTGTGATGGTTCCAGCAGGTACTTCAAATAACCACTGCTTAGCAGCATCAGACAAGGCAAAAGGAAATGCCTTTAACTTGAGTTGGTCGAGGGTGACCCCAGCCGGTTTCATACCCGCACATGCTATGTGAAATTCCTTTAAAAATCTGCTAGCCTCATTCATGTGAACTGAACCCAAGGAGTTAGTATTATGGAAACCTGAAAATGTGGGAAGAGCTCTAATCAACCCCGGCTTGATCTCAATTTCTACCTCATCGTCTACTATGCACATTAAATTTGGATCAAACGTTGGAGCTGCGAGCTGCTTTAGTGTTTGATCACCCATCTCAAAAAGATATTCACCCTCCTCGTCCTAAAATGAACTTTCATTGTGAGGCAACGGAATATGACGAGCTTGCTCCAGTATTTGAGCACGAGACCTTTTAGCTACAGGAAGAGTAGAAAAAGGATTAATTATAAGTCCTTGGTTCCT